CCTTCGGAGCGGTCCAGCCCCCGGAGTGCGGTTTGGAGGCCCCCGCCCAGCAGACAGATTAAGTTTCGGGCAATAGTTCCCTGTGGCCTCACGTTAGCTACTGACAATCAGCTTGTTTCTTCTGGAGACGTGGCTCGCCCTAAAAAGTGCAGCTCCGCCCTGTGAAGTGCAGCTCCACCCGATACAGTAGAGCCACCTGCAAAGACCACGTCCTCTCGCCCCCAGAGCCTCATCATAGTATCTGTGCCCTATCGAGAGCACCCCACACCTGAGAGGAACTGCGAAACATCAGCTAGTGCAACCAGTTCGACCGCATCAGGTGCCTTACTCCCAAGCCTTTGTAATGAATCCTTTCCCTCCATTCTACCCATCTGCCTCGCTTCTTCCCCCAAGATTTACCTGCATCTCCCCCAGAGTAATCCCACTCCATCGCCAGCCTCAACCTCACACTCTAGAGCAGTGGTTCTCAACCTTGGCTGCACATTAGAATCACCTGGGAATCTTTTTAAAATCCTGATTTCTGGACCTCATCCTCCTGAAATTCTGTTTCTTTGTTACTAATGTTGTGGCCCCCCGACCCCATAACAAAGAAACAGAATTTCCGGAGGATGAGACCCAGAAATCAGGATTTTAAAAAGATTCCCAGGTGATTCTAATGTGCAGCCAAGGTTGAGAACCACTGCTCTAGAGTGTTTCTCTGAAGATGGCAGTCAGACCAGTGATGCGACAGAGGGGAGAAAACAAATGGTTTGACAAACCACCCTACTTTTTTCTTCTTGTTCAGAGCTATAGAAACATTCTTAGACACCCTCCCCCTTATATCCAAGATAACCAAGCTTATCTAACCAACTCACAGGCCTTAGAGAGATAAAGCAAAAACCCCTCCAATTCTTTCTTCGTGTAAAAACTGCTAGGAGAAAATGTTACTAGTTGTAAAAGAGTCCAACAGAGGAGAAAAAGGAGAGTAAATTGACAAAAGAAAAATCCAAATAAAGTACAAAGTAGAAAACGCGGGGGACCAAAAACTGGGCTGAGCATCGTCAGTTATCTGGTACAGGCTGGTGTGCACACAGACTTTCTCCTGGAGAGAAAAGAAAATGCACAAATTAGTCCTGAGGATCTCTCTGTAGCACACCTGGGGAGTTCCAGAAAGTCTCTCCAGACCAGAACCTTTCCTCTGGGAACCTCTGCTGCAACTAGAAAATAAAATGGCTGTAGCCACTCTTGTGCCCTTCTCGGTGGGCTCAGCTGGGCCACCTCCCCGGCTGTTGCATACTTACTAGTTACTTACTTAGCTCACATTGTGGTGCTGCCTCCGTCTTACGCTGCTTCTTCATTGTGCAGAACGGGTTTGACTTCCTCCAGTGCTAGCTCGTCTATAGAAGCAGACAAGTGAGCCTCCCTTGCTTAAATAAGGGCACCGAGGCTGCTCTGGGTAACGCAACACTGATAAAGACACAGCAAGGAATTTCAAGAGGCAATCCACCTCCTTCAAAGCATAATCAAATTTCATCTTTGACCTGCCATGAAAAGGGAAGCATCATATATCTGCCACTCCTAGATATTAATGAACAATTAATTGAGTTTGAAAACTTGTAATCTAAGATTTCATCTGTTCTCTCTGACAGGAGATAGAGGCGGTGTATGAAAGGGGTGAAGTCAGAGGCATTGCTTTCCTCCAGGACGCCACTCCTCCGGGAGTAAAGTTGGTTGGGGCGCTTGTACCAGGGCTGCATGTGCACTGGGACTCTGCTCCCCTGAGACGTAAACTGAAACCAATTAACCCCGAGCTTGACAGTCCACAAGTATGTTCCACATAGTACGTGAGCACTGATGCCATTAGGAGTCGTCTCCGGGTGTGGGTGAAAATGCCACCCGCCTATCCCTTGGGACTTTAAGGACCTGCTGGCATTAGTTCAATCAGTGATTCACAGGCGGACAACAAAGCCGCACAAATCCAGGACTCTGTGACTGATGAAAGAAAGAAAAGGAAGGGAGGGAGGGAGAAAGGGAGAAAGGGAGAAAGGGAAGGAGAAAGAAAGAGGGGAGGGAGGAAGGAAGGAAGGAAGAAAGAGGGATGGAGGGAGGGAGAGAGGATGGATAATGAAGGCTTCTGAGAAAGAGGGGAAGAAGGGAGGGAGGAAGGGAAGAAGGAAGGAAAAAAAGGAAGTACCTTGAGACTGAAAAAACAAAACAAAACAGAGGAAGTCCAGAATTTCTCAATCTGGGAGGAATTTCAAGGATGAGGAAAATTTGCCTCAGGCAAATAAATAGCTTAGTAGATCAGCTGGAGAGGCAAAGCTGGAAAGGAGACGCTTTGGGGTGGGGTGAGGAGAACGGGATGGGATACTGGAAGGAGTTGCTGCCTTCAGAAAGCTTTCTGGTAGTTTTAAAGCAGTGGTTCTCAACCTTCCTAATGCTGCGGCCCTTTAATACAGTTCCTCATGTTGTGGTGACCCCCAACCATAAAATTATTTTCGTTGCTACTTCATAACTGTAATTTTGCTACTGTTATGAATCGTAATGTAAATATCTGATATGCAGGATGTATTTTCATTGTTACAAATTGAACATAATTAAAGCATAGTGAGCCCTAACTGGTTTGGCTCAGTGGATAGAGCGTCGGCCTGAGGACCCAAGGGTCCCAGGTTCCATTCCGGTCAAGGGCATGTACCTTGGCTGCGGGCACATCCCCAGTAAGGGGCGTGACCCCCAAAGGGGTCGCAACCCACAGGTTGAGAACCGCTGTTTTAAAGGAAATCTGGTTAGGTGTGGAGGATAGAGGAGGCTGGAGCAGTGTCCCAGCGTGCAAGGCCACACGCAGGCAGCCAGTGGTGTGGTAGAAGTCCAGGAGGTTGGCTATGTCCTAGTTTTTGGTAACTTGAGTATGGTAATATTTACTTTACTAATGGTAATGGGGGAGTTGTGTACTTAAGCATAAGGGTTTTATTATGGAATGTAGGCCGATTTCCAGGTGGTGTAGGTTTCTCTTTTTCAGGCTTTTTTTCTTTTTTTAAAATGTATTTTTATTGCTCAGGCCAGTTTGGCTCAGTGGATAGAGCAGCCATGGGCAAACTATGGCCCGTTTGAAATGAATAAAACTAAAAAAAAAAAAAAAGACCATACCCTTTTATGTAATGATGCTTACTTTGAATTTATATTCGTTCACACAAATACTCCATCCATGCTTTTGTTCCAGCCCTCCGGTCCAGTTTAAGAACCCATTGTGGCCCTCGAGTCAAAAAGTTTGCCCACCCCTGGGATAGAGTGTCAACCTGAGGACTGAAGAGTCATGGGTTCTATTCCAGTTGGGGGCACATGCCCAGATTTCAGGCTCAGATGATTTCAGAGAGGAAGGGAGAGAGAGAGATACAAGACATCGATGATGAGAGAGAATCATTGATCAGCTGCCTCCTGCACACCCCCTACTGGGGATCAAGCCCACAACCCGGGCATGTGCCCTTGACTGGAATCGAACCCGGGACCCTTCAGTCCGAAGGCCGACACTCTATCCACTGAGCCAAACCAGCCAATGCCAGGCTTATTTTCTTGTTAAAAATGTATTGATTTGATTGGAGAGAGAGAGGAAGGGAGAGACATACACAGAGAGAGATATCAATTTATTGCACCATCCATCCATGCACTCATTCGTTGATCCTTGCATGTACCCTGACCCAACTGAACCCCCACCACTGGCACGTCCAGACGATGCTCCAACCAAATGAGCAACTTGGCCAGGGCCAGGCTTATTTTCTCATGCATCTTGTCTGAAGCTTTTGAGGACCGATTTCCAATGCCCAGAGGAATAGTAGATGGCAAGTTTTATGGTTTTTATCTTTTAACCAATTTGAGGGAAACAAATTAATTTGAGACAAAAGTAAGGTGAGTTTTGTAAGACATTTTTATTTTTAGCTTGGGGTAATGAAGCATTTTAGTTTTGTGAATAAGTTGTAAATGTCCAGTTTGGGTGTATAACTGGCAGGGGGTGGGGGATTTTTGTGGGGGGTGGGGAGCAAGATATGTTTTGAGTTCTTTTCTCCCGTAGGTCTGTCTAGATTGAATCTCAAAGGCAAATTACTCAGGGTAACAGAAAAAAATAAAATCCAGTTTCAGGATAATCAGAACACCACAGGTTTATAGTTTCTAGAGACTAGAACCTGAGCAGTTCTCTCTTTGAGGCCTGTGGTGGAGCTGTCCATTACAGAAATGGCTGGTGTTTATTCTTTTTCCCACCCCTTAATCAGATTTTTAAAGTATGTAACCCCTTAACTTTACTTGAAGTATTTGGGGGTGGTCTTAACAGGGAAGAGGGTGAAGGAGAAAAAAAAGAAAATCTGCTTAGTACCATAAAAATATATGCAAACGAACGTGATAGAAATAAATACCTTAGAATGGAAAAGAAAAGCAGTTATTAATTCCTATTAATCAAGGTAGACTTCCAGCAAGTGGCTCTGGTTCCTACACAGAATAGTCAGTAGAAGAAACTAGGTAGCGATCTGCCAGGACCCCAGATTTAGATCTCTTTAGTCAGGTGTGCCCTCAAGTACTAGAAGTCCTATCATAACAACTTGATCTATCCTTCTTTTTGTCCTTGTTGGCCGAGTTTCCTAAGGCAAAACGGGGCTGGCCACCAATTTGTCCCCCTTCACCAGAGAGAAGTTAGATGAAATCATCCAACGAAAGTGTTGGAGGAAAAAGCCCTATTTTAGTTTTGGAATTCCAAACATTGGAATGGATTTTACAGTAAGTCTCTACCATTGCCCCGCTGTTTTCTTAACTCAGCAGTCTCACCCAACATACACACTCCACTCTTGCCTTCTGGGCCCCGGATTCTCACATAGTCATGTTACCAGACCTTACATGCCAGGTTCTTGAGTATCAATGTCCTAAAAATGAGCACTGAACTCAGTACAAATCAAGCAGATAGCATTCATTGAAAAGAACTTGTCCTAAGTTGAGTTACCAGAAAAGAGAAGTCAAGCTCGCTGAGGGGTTCTTTGTGGATGGTTTGTACAGGGGACTTGGAGTGGTGTGGGGCTTGGGAATGAGGACGAGGTCAGTTGTCCCGTGCTTCTTGTCTCTTGGTGGTTGACCCCAGGGTAGTCACAGGATGTTTTCCATGGTCAATGGACCACCCGAAGAGCCTGTAAAATAATGCTTGTGCAAACATTCTGGTGACCATTAATGGACTGAGAAAGAGGTTGGTGGTGAGTCTTTTTGAGGGGTGGAGTCAGAGATGCAGAATAACCAAGTTTCTAAAGCTGAACAGAATTAGTTTAGAAAGACATGTTGGGCCTCCAGGTAAGATGGCAATGTAGGTAAACGTGGTACTAGAATCCTCCCACAAATACATCAAAAATACAACTAATCGCCCAGCTGGCATGGCTCAGTGGTTAAGCATTGACCTGTGAACCAGGAGGTCATGATTCGATTCCCAGTCAGGGCGCATGCCCCGGTTGTGGGCTAAATCCCCAGTGTGGAGAGTGCAGGAGGCAGCCAATCAATGATTCTCTCTTATCATTGATGTTTCTATATCTCTCTCCCTCTCCCTTCCTCTCTGAAATCAATAAAAATATATTTTAAAAAACAACTAATCTTCAGAACAACCATCATTCAGAACCACCTGAAATCTAGGTCAATGGAAGTCCTAAGGAATTAAGGAAGAAGCCACACTGAGACTGGTCGGAGGGGCAGAGACACAGAACCATTTGGTGTTTTTCAATTGGGAGAAATATCTTGGCTGTGGAGGTCCCCCCTGAGAAGCAAGTCGTCCCTGCCCCCACCAGACCTCTCAGCCCAGGGTTCCAGTGCCAGGAAAAGTCCGGATAAATTCAGGCTATAAAAACCAGTGGGGAATCAGGCTGAGAAAGACGGAGGGTAGCAGGAGTCCCAGACATTTCTTCTTAAAGGACCCGTGCACAGACTTACTTGGACTCACTCCCTCTGAGCTCCAGCATTGAGCAGCAACTTGAAAGTAACCAGGGGTATACAGGAAGGAACTAAATTGTCTGGCATCAGGGCAACAGTTGGGGTGGGGGTGGGGGGGAGGCGAGCAGCTTTCTTCCAGACAGAAGTGCTGGCAGAGGCTATTGTTCCTATGCTGAACCTTCCCCCCAACAGGGCTGGCAGGTGGGCACCATATCTAAGTCTCTATCAACCTGCTCACACTGTTTGCCCCACCCTGATGATTCCCTGAGACCCTGTCTGCACCCAACTTGCAGGCTCACCCAAGTCATTTCCAGTGGCTTTTCTATACAACTCATGTCTCTTGCCTCATGCTTTGAACTTTCCTAAAATCTCTCAAACAAGCAGCAGCTGGCCTCAATGTGCTCTGTACCTGTCACTAAATGGCCTCAGGCCCAGCACTAGCAGCAGCCTACCTTGGTTCACGGCCTAGCATCTCCTGGGCACCTCCAAGCCCAACACACATAGCAGCCATCTATAGATCGCTCAGTGCTAGTGCTGGGTGGCCCCAGGCAGGGCACAGGCAGTAGTTGACTTTGCACCCCCCTGGAGGCCCCAGTACCAGTGCACTGGCGGACAGCTTCAGACCATGCTCAATTACAACCCCATCTCCTCCATGAGCGACAGACTCAAGGGGTGGACTCCGTGAGCACCAAAGCCCCATGGAAATCCTGCTCCCTAGGGTCAACTCCTGCACAGCAGCTCTTTTGCTATAGCTGAACCTGGTCCTCACAGCCAATTATCTTAGGAATCAATCCTTCCCAGTGATGCCAACAACAATTAAGGCTCAACTACAACAGAACAGTGCACACAGCCCACACAGGGGCACACCTGAAACACCCACCTCAGGTGACTGGGAGGTTGTACCACTAGGCCCTACAGGACACCTACTACACAAGGCCACTCTACCAAGTCCAGGAGACATAGCAGTTCTACCTAATACATAGGAACAAACACAAAGAAGTAGCCACAATATGGAGGCAAAGACACATGTTGCAAATGAAAGAACAGGAGAAATCTCCAGAAAAAGAACTAAATGAAATGGAATCAAATAAACTATCAGATACAGAGTTCAAAACAATGGTTATAGGGATGCTCAAAGAACTTACTGAGAACTTCAAGGAACTTAGTGAGAACTTAAATAGCATGAAAAAGGACTTAGGAACCATAAAAAAGAACCAGTCAGAAATGAAGGATACACTAACTAAAATGAAGAATAATTTACAGGAAATCAACAACAGAGTAGAGGATGCTGAGAATCAAATCAGGGATTTGGAATATGAGAAAGCAAGAAAACACCCAATCAGAACAGTAAAAAAAAAAAAAAGGAATAAAAAAATATAAAGATAGTGTAAGAAGCCTCTGGGACAACTTCAAGTGTACCAACATTCACATCATGGGGGTCCTGGAAGGAGAAAAGAAGGTGAAAGAAATTGAGAACCTATTTGAAAAAATAATGACAGAAAACTTTCCATATCTGATGAAAAAAATAGGCATACAAGTCCAGGAAGCACAGAGAGTCCCAAACAAGATAAATCTAAATTGGCCCACACCAAGACACATCATAATTAAAATGCCAAAGGTTAAAGGCAAAGAGAGCATCTTAAAAGCAGCAAGAGAAAAGCAGTTAGTTACTGACAAGGGAGCACCCATATGACTGTCAGCTGATTTCTTTAAAAAAAAATTATTTATTGATTTCAGAGAGAAAGGCAGAAGTAGAGAGAGAGAGAGAAACATCAATGATGAGAGAGAATCATTGATTGGCTGCCTCCTGCAAGCCCTGTACTGGGGATCAAGCCCGCAACCCAGGCATGTGCCCTTGGCTGGAATCAAACCTGGGACCCTTCAGTCCGCAGGCTGATGCTCTATCCACTGAGCCAAGCCAACTAGGGCAGTCAGCTGATTTCTTAACAGAAATTATGCAGGCCAGAAGGGAGTGGCAAGAAATATTCAAAGTGATGAAAAGCAAGAACCTACAACCAAAATTACTCTACCCAGCAAAGCTATCATTTAGAATTGAAGGTCAGATAAAGAGCTTCCCAGACAAGAAAAAGCTAAAGGATTTCATCACCACCAAACCAGTATTACATGAAATGTTAAAGGGTCTTCCTTAAGAAAAAGATTAAAAATATGAACAATAAAATGGCAATACATATCTATCAACAATTGAATCTAAAAATCAAAATAAATGAATAAGCAGAAATAGACTCATAGATACAGAGAACAGTTTGACAGTTTCCAGATGGGAGGAGGGTTGGGGAAATGGGTGAAAAAGGCAAAGGGATTTAGAAGCACAAATTAGTAGTTTGTATAGTCATGGGGGTGTAAAGTACAGCATAGGGAATCTATACTAATAAAAGAGAAACATGCAAATTGGTGTCACTCCACTACGTCCACCAAACCAATCAGGATGAGTATGCAAATGAACCCAACAACGATGGCGGTTAATTTGCATATACAGGCATGGAACAAAGACTGAAGACGACTGAAGACTGAAGAGGCTTGGCTTCTCCGCTGTGGCCGGAGCGAAGGCCTGGATCCCGGGTGCCAGAGGAAAACCAGTGCTGGCAGCCAGGGGAAGGAAGGCCTATTGCACAAATCTCTTCGTGCAATGGGCCTCTAGTGTAGTCAATAATATTCCAAAAACTAGGTATGGTGTCAGATGGGTATGAGATTTTTTGAGATCCTCACTTAAGTTATGTCTAATTACTGGGGTGTGCACCTGAAACTGATATACTATTGTATGTCAAGTGTAATTGAAAAATAAAAAATTATTTTAAAAAAGACATCTTTGAGTCTTCTATTTAACTTCATTATACATTAAGAATAAGAACACACAAACACATATGTTTGTTCCATTTAATTTCATTCATTTAATAAATACAACATTGAGCATCTACTGTGTGCCAGGTTCTATTCTAGGCTCTGGAAGACAGCAATGATCAAAGACATACAAAGTTCCTGCTCTTAGAGAACTGGTTCTGTGGGGGAGACAAATAATAAACAAGACAATAAGTATATTTCAGGGGGTGATAAATTCCATTACAAAATAAATTTAAGCCTTGGCCAGGTAGCTCAGTTGGTTAGAGTGTCTTCCTGATATGTCAAGGTTGCAGGTTCGATCCCTGGGGCAGGGCACATGCAAGAATCAACCAATAAATGCATAAATAAGTGGAACAACACATCAATGTTTCTCTCTTTCCTCCTTCCTCTCTCTCCAAATCAACAAATTTTAAAAAAGACCCTGAGACAAGATCAAGTTGTATGTGTCTGTGAACATATTATTCCTTTGTCCTACATTAAATATATGCTAGTAATTTTATGATAGTGATATTAAACTGCAAAATCATTTTTTAAATTTTTATTAATTTTAGAGAGAGAAAAACATTGATTTGCTGTTCCACTTATTTATGCATGCATTGGTTGATTCTTGTATGACAGGGATTGGCATATGGGGACAATGCTCTAACTAACTGTGCTACCCGGCCAGGGCAAACTGCAAAATCCTTGAAGTCTTTCTAATATTGACTCAGCCAGGTAAAACATTTCTGAATTTTGCTGACTGTGCAAATGTGCCTAGAAGTTCAGTAAGTGGTGCTGGCTAGATAATGAGCCATGCATCATGGTGAATATCAAGACTGATGGAAGAGACCCTAGGTGACCCTGCCGCAGCTGGGTGGGGAAAATCTCTCTCCAGGAGTTCCCTTACCTCTGTCCTTTTGCTCTAATTGCTGTGGACGTG